TCAGAAGTTTGCCCCATCAGCAAACTTCTGGTGTGGCTGAAGATTGATATATAACAGCCCACACACTTGTGTTCATTACTTATATTTTGCCTGGTTTTAATCCATTCGAGGGAACGACTATCTTAGACACAATCCTAGGGCAGCGATCATTTGAAGTACAAGGCATCATTGTGCAATACTTCAGAGGTGCGATCGCCACCCAGAATTGATTCACCGAAGCACAGGGCATCACTATGCAATGCTCCGGATGTTTCATCGATTCCCATTTTTGGTTATGTCTTAGATAAGCCTATGACCTCTTCGCCGAGAATAACAAATCCGTCCAAGGTACAGTGCATCACTATGCAATACCCCGAGGTTCTATTTGTTACCCCCATATCGGCAGGTTCCTCGGCTTGCCGAAGTACAGTGCATCATAATGCAATACTTCGGACAACACCGAGTGTAAACCTTGAATTTTTTCGAAAAATGGCAATGACAGAAATACTGAAAGCAAAGTACAGAAATTATGAATAACCGCGGCTCAAAGGCCTTTCATTGATTCTGAAGAAAATGTACTTACACAGATTTTTCCTCCCGTATTGGGGGTTTTACACATGGAATTTCCTAAGTAGATCTGCGTTCCAGTGGTTTTTCAATTCAGTTCCATCTAACTGTCGAAGACGATAAGTTCTTGCCTGGAGCTCATCATATATTTCATAAGGCCCTTCCCAGTTAGCTGAGAGTTTTCCATGAATGCGGCTTTTCTGAACAACGGCAGCATTCCGAAGAACAAGGTCCCCAACCTTGAGGAGTCTTGACTAGACTCTTCGGTTGTAGAACTTGCTGATTCTCTGTTTGTATGCTGCTATTCTGTCCCTTGCCGAATCTCGGATCTCGTTTAAGAAATCGAGGGACTCTTTCGTGAGATGCTCGTTTTCTTCGGCTGAGAATTGATTGACTCTAAGACTTTCTGAGCCAATTTCCACTGGCAAAACGGCTTCGGATCCATACACCAGTTCAAAAGGTGAATGCCCCGTGGCCTCTTTTTCAGTTGTCCGAAGTGACCATAGAGTTCCGGGAAGCTCTTCTATCCACTTGGACTTTTGATCTTCAACTCTCTTTTTGAGAGCATTGAGTATCTGTTTATTTGCAGCTTTGGCATGGCCATTACTTTGAGGATGGAAGACTGCTGAATATGCCAGTTTTATGCCGAACTGATCTGTGTACCGCCTCAGCGGCAGGTTGTCAAATTGTCTTCCATGATCGAAGACAAACACTTTTGGAATGCCGAAGCGCGTAATGATATTCTGCCAAATAAATTTTCTGACAGTTTGCTCTGTTATGTTTGAAGCTGCTTCTGCTTCTATCCATTTGCTAAAGTAGTCGATTCCGACTATCAACCACTTTTTCTGATAAGGAGCCTCAGGAAATGGTCCTAGAATATCCAACCCCCATTGAGCGAAAGGAAAAGGATTCAGGATCGGCTGAAGGTCCCTCGAAGGCTGATGAATAACTGGTGCGAATTTTTGGCATTTTTCGCATTTCCGCACCAAGTCCTTGGCATCTTGGATCATGGTTGGCCAATAATATCCTGTCCGTAGTGCTTTGTGGGCTAGGGTCCTTCCCCCTATGTGGTTTCCACAGATGCCGAAATGGATCTCCCGAAGGATATAATCCGCATCTGTTGGACCCACACATTTCAGCAATGGGGTTGAGAAGGATTTTTTCCGCAGCTCTCCCTTGTAGATAATGAACCTTGAGCCAACCCTTTTCATTTTTGCGGCTAGGTTCCTATCCTCAGGAAGTATTCCTTGAAGCTTATAAGCCAAGATGGGGTCCATCCAGCTCGGTTCAGCTTCGACGCATTGGATCTCAATTTCTTGGTCAATGCTTCTATTTTGGCGCACTTCCACATATACGGACCGGTTCAGCTCGGTAAGTGTTGAACTTGCAAGTTTGGATAGTGCATCGGCTTGAGCATTCTGACCCCTTGGGATCAGATCAATTTCAAAAGTTCTCAGCTTCGCTATAACTGATTTGATCTTGGCAAGATAAGAGATCATGGAGGGCTCCTTGGCCTCATACTCGCCTCGAATCTGATTAGCAACCAGCTGAGAGTCTGTTTTCAAACAGACATGTTCGGCTTTGAGAGCTATGCACAGTTCTAAGCCAGCAATTGCTGCTTCATATTCTGCTTCGTTGTTAGAAGCCTTAAATGAAAATTTGAAGTTTCTGCCTTCGGGAGAGGTGATCACCACCCCAGCTCCCGAACCATTTACAGTGGCTGAGCCATCCGTAAACACAGTCCAAGTCCCCTTTCCTTTGTCGAGTGTTTCCTGATAGGAACATTCGGCCAGGAAGTGTGCTAGGGCTTGGGCCTTTATTGCTGCCCTCGGCTGGTAGTTTATGCTGAACTCAGTGAGCTCGAAGGCCCACTTTGTTAGTCTGTCGGATCTCTCTACCTTGCCAAGGACTTTTTCCAGCGGTTGATCCGTTAAGACCACTATTTAATGTGAGTCAAAATAAGGTCTTAACTTCCGAGCTGCCACTACCACTGCATATGCAACTTTTTCGAGCAGAGGGTAGCGCGTTTCGGCAACAGTCAAAGTATGACTAACGAAGTAGATCGGTTGCTGAACCTTTTCTTCCTCCTTCAACAGCACCGCACTCACTGTAGCAGGGCTAACTGCCACATAGAGGTACAAGACTTCTCCTTCGGTTGGCCTTGCCAGTGTTAGAAGGTTAGCCAAGTGTTCCCAGAGCTGTTGGAAGGCTACTTTTTGCTCATCTTCCCATATGAGCTCCTTGGATTTCGAAAATTTCAGCGCCTTGAAGAAGGGCAAACCTTTGTCCGACGGTTTTGAGATGAACCTGGATAACGCAGCCATCCTCCCAGTAAGACGTTGAATGTCCCTTTTCGTCTTCGGCTCGGCAAGATCCAGAGCTGCTTGAACTTTGGCGGGATTGGCATCAATCCCCCTCTTGCTGACCATGAAGCCTAGGAATTTCTCAGACCTTACGCCGAAGACACATTTCTTCGGATTCAGCTTCATTTGGTGTTTTCTCAAAGTGGCGAACGTTTCGGCTAGGTCTGCAACATGGTCTTTCGCCTCTTTGCTTTTGACGATGGAATCGTCAACATAGACTTCCATGTTGCGGCCTTTTTTCTTGGCAAACACTTGGTCCACCAGCCTCTGATATGTAGCCCCGACATTCTTCAGGCCGAAGGGCATCATTTTATAGTTGTACACCCTGGCGCTTGTAACAAATGTTGTTTTTGCTCTATCATCGGGGTGCATGAAAATCTGATGGTACCCAGATAATGCGTCCATGAAACTGAGCAGAGCATGGCCACTTTTCGAGTCAACCAGCTGATCGATTCTCGGCAAAGGGTAGAAGTCCTTCAGACAGGCCCTATTCAGGTCCGTGAAGTCAACGCACATTCTCCAGGTGCCATTAGCTTTCTGAACCATTACTACATTCGCCAGCCATTCAGGGTATTGGCAAAGTTCAATAAACCCTGCGTCCAGAAGTTTCTTGACTTCGGCTGCGATGTCCTGGTTCTTCTGAGCGGAGTAATTCCGCTTCTTTTGCTTAACTGGTCGATACGCGGGATCGACATTAAGCTTGTGAGAGATGAGGTTCGGATCAATTCCCGGCATGTCAGCTACTGAGAATGCGAACACATCCCCGTTGTCCCGAAAGAGTTGGATTAATTCAACCCAGAGGCTCGGATCGAGCCCTTGTCCGATGTTGACACATTTTTCAGTATCTCCCTCGGTCAACTGTATTGATTCAGTTTGCTCATCTGACTCCATTTCTTTGGAGCCAGACTCTTCTGGTTCAGGTCTACTGTCAATATCAGTAGACTTTCCTTTCTTCGGCTGGTCTTCGTCCGAATCTTTCGGTCCAGCCGAAGAGCTTGCCTTTCCAATCCCCAAGGATGTTTTCTTTTTCGAAGCCCCTGAGCCGAAGCACTTAGGCCCTTCAGCCTTTTAGTACCTCGCTCCTTTTCTTTCTCTTTTTCTTCCTCATCATCCTTGTCGCTGCGGCGACTAGGGGTGTACAAAAACTGGACCGGACATGAAACCGGACCTGAACCGACCTGATCCGGACCGGACCTGACCCGGACCTGTTGATTCAGGTCCGGTCCCGGTCCTTAAAAATCAAGGTTCCCGGTTCCGGTCCGGACCCGGTCTAAACCCGGGGTTTTCAGGTCCGGACCTGAAACCCGGAAAAATTGTTTTTTTTTTAAAAAAAAAAAAAAAAAAAAAAAAAAAAATTAAAATAATGCTGCTGCTTGACAGCTTGAGGCCTTGAGTGACGCTTGAATTCTCTTTCATTTCATTCTAACCCTAACAAACAGGCTGTCTCCCCCTCTCCCTCACGCAGACACGCAGTCACGCAAGTCTCAGCCGAGTCAGCCCAACGCGGCAACGCCCACCGCCGACACCTCCTGCCTTCCTCACTCTCTCAGGCGAAGCCCAGGCGCCCACCGACCACCGCATGAGACAGCTACTGCGCGATTTTCCATTTCTCCGGTAAGTTATTTTTTTTTTTAATGTAAATCTAAATTATCTAATTATGTTTGGGTATTTTGTATTCGAAATAATGAATTAAGTGTTAGAATTTATATGTTTATTCATGTTTCAATTGCTTATAATGATTATTTGATGTTTGCATGTTGAATTTCTTTTTTTTACTTCAATGTTTTCGAATTTATGTTTTTTCTTTTTTGGTTTATTTTCGAATTTCTTTCGAATTTATGTTTTTTTTTTTGGTTTTTTTTAGTTTAAAGTTTAGGGTTTTAGGGTTTAATTTAGAATTGATAACAAGTATGGTTTATCTTCGAATTTATTTATTTTTATGTTTTGGTAATGGGATTGTAGCAGAGGACAATTAGTTTTTCATCATGATTGCATTGTTTATTTTTGTCAAGTACCTGAATTTCTTAGACTCCTTTTGGTTGGACTTTGAAATTAGAGAAAATGCAATTATTTTGATTTCAAAATTAGAAATTGAGAGAAAGGTAGAAATTAGCTTGGTTGATATATGATAAGTTGGAATGTGCCTCTGAAATTGACATAAACTTCAGCAAGTAACGTGTAACACAAAAGAGAAAAATAAAAAGGAAGAGAACAAACAATGAGATTATGAGAGCAATGAAATTTTCTGACTGCGACTAGCTAGAATTACCATTGGAACTGCTGGATAGAGTCTGAGAGTTTCTGTCAATGCAGCATGTAAATACTGCATTCTTTCAAGTGATTCTTCTGTCAAACTAGCAGCAAGTTCTGAAAATTTTCCAACTCCTTCCATTTTCGTAATTTTCCTTACTTCTTCAGCAACCTTTTCCTGTATATTCTGGTGTTTACAAAGCATGTAAACAAACCATGAAAGTGTAACTGCTGTTGTGTCTTTACCCGCAATTACAAAGCTCAAGATTATATCTCTCAGATACTTCAAATCAGTGTCGCTCTGCTCCAGGAACCTTGACAAGATATCATCCTTTTTCATCTGCATTTCCTACAAATTCACACAGAAAGAATGCATTAATCTCCTCAGTAAACCGATATGATTACAGACTTCTAAGTTATGATTCACTTACTGAGACATTGCTTTGTGAACTTTTCATTAGTTCCACTTTGTTACTGATTAATTTGTAAACAAAATCATCAACAGTTTTGACACTTCTCTTAAGTTTAGCCTCTGCGCCAATGTTGAGAAATTTCTTGATAGGCCAAAAGATGTCTACATATCGTAACATGGTTGAAGCACTAGCATCATCAAAAGCCTGGCCAAATTTCTTCCCTTCTTCATTTGAGCCACACATACTGTCTAGATCAACTCCAAATGCAACTTTGAAAATAGAATCTAACGTTGACTTCATAAACAAGTCCTATAGAAAGCCATTTCAAGTTAGTTCGTTACTCCAAAGTCTCCAAAAGTACATAGCTCATCTTATCAGTAAAACACTTTTGTCCAATACAACCAGTAAAACACCATCTTACCTGAATATCCATAATTTGGGTGGAGTGTCACGGAAGGCGGCTAGGGGTGGGGCTGCCAATGAAGCTGGTTGTGTACTTGTGTTGTGTTGTGTGGGCAGTGGTGGATCTGGGTATTGACATAAATTTCAGAAAGTTGGTTGTGTTGTGTTGTGTTGTGTTGTGTGGGCAATGCCTCTCTCATTTTTTTCTTAACATAAATTTCAGAAAGTTGAAAGTATTTCTAATGTGTATTGATATTTCTAATGTGTATATATGGACACTTTTTAAGCTAACTTATACTTTAAAATTTGTGTTTATTCCTGCTAGGCTGCTAAAAGTATGGACTCAGATTATTAAGATTAAATAAGTTGGCTAACCTGTGTGTAGTTCAGGGGTTCTTATTTTTGTTTTTATTCTTGCAGGGAGTGAAGGAAGTCAAGGAACCACGGATTCTTATTCTTGCAATGTAAGTTGCTCTTAAATTTTTTTTATAAAATGGTATGTGTATATAATTGTTACTTTAAAATTACTTATATTGTATATAATTATATTGTAGATGGAGAGCTCTCAATCCAAACGGTCTGCTTCTTTTTCTGAACAAACGTCACAGCCACTTTCTGAAAAGGATATGGAAGAATTGCAATCTACTTTGCCTCCTGATAAGAAGCTAAAAGCGGGGCGGGAATATATATGGAACAGAAAAAGTAAGAGGAAAGCTGAGTATTGGAAATATTACTTAGAGTACGTCGAGAATGGAAAACTACGAGCTGAATGTAAGTTCTGTCCTAAAACTTTTGCTGCTGATGGTAATCTTAATGGTTCAAAAAATGTTAAAAACCATGCAGAATCATGTCTCGGTAATCCTATTAATATAGAAAAAGAAAAGGGCAAAGAAAAGCAAACTAAATTGTATTTTGATCAAGAACATGAGAGTAGTGAATTAAAGTGTGGGAGTAGGATTATTAACTTGAATGATGTTAGAGAGGCATTGATTCACATGATTATTGTTGATGAGTTACCATTTAAGCATGTGGAAAAATCCGGTTTTAGGCACTTTGTGCAAGTTGCATGTCCACAATTTCACATTCCATCTCGTGTTACCATTGCTCGTGATTGTTTAAAGTTGTATTATAGTGAAAAAGAGAAATTGAGAGAAATGTTTAAGACATGTCAAAGAATTTCTGTGACCACTGATACTTGGACTTCAATACAAAGAATTAATTATATGTGTCTTACAGCTCATTTCATTGATAATGACTGGAAATTGAATAAAAAGATCATAAATTTTTGTCCAATTTCTAGTCATAAAGGAGAGGCTATTGGAAAAGCAGTTGAGGCATGTTTAGAGTATTGGGGTATTGATGATAAACTTTTTACTGTCACTGTTGATAATGCTTCTTCAAATGATGTTGCTTGTGCACACTTGAGTAGAATGGTTAGAAGAACAGGATGTATAAATGATGGAAAAAATCTCCATGTTAGATGCATTGCTCATATCATTAATTTAATTGTGTGGGATGGTATTAGAGAACATGGTGTGTGCATTGATAGAGTTAGAAATGCTGTGAAATATGTTAAGAATTCCCCTGCAAGAATACTTAGATTCAAAGATCTTGTGCAAAAAGCAAACATAGATTCAAAATCTTCTTTATCCTTTGATGTCCCCACTCGTTGGAACTCCACATACATAATGTTGGAAACGGCTTTGAAGTTTCGACGTGTTTTTAGTGGGTTATCTCTTCCTGATGGAGAGGATTTGAATGACAATGAAAGGCCTCCCGAACCCGAAGATTGGGAAAAAGTGGAGAGGTTGGTTTTGTTTCTAGGGGGGTTTTATCTGTTAACTAAACGAATTTCTGGTTCCCATTATGTGACAGCTAATAAAGGTTTAGGAGAAATTGCTTCTATGTATGATATGTTGAATAATTGGGAACAAAGTGAGGACTTGAATTTTCAAGCCATGGCCATTGCAATGAAAAAAAAGTTTGATAAGTATTGGGGGGATGTGGATAAGATGAATAAGTTCATTTATGTTGCTCTTCTTCTCGACCCTCACTCTAAGATGGTCATTGTTGAATTGACACTAACGGATATGCATGGACCGGAAAAGGGTACAAAACTTGCTAATGATGTGAAGGAGTTCGCTTACTCTTTATTTGAGGAATATAGAAAAATGTATGCTACTTCTAATATTCCATATTGTGGAGATAATATGTCAATGGATATTGATAATAGTAAAGGAGTGGGTTCCGATTATGTGAGGAAACTAAAAGAAAGAGCAAAACGATTGAAGGGGACAAGTGGGTATGCGATAAGTGAGTTGGATAGGTACTTAAATGATCAATTAGGGCCGGAGGAGGAAGAACAAGATGCATTGACATGGTGGGGTAAGAATGGTCAGCGTTATGTGATTCTTAATCGCATGGCACGTGACATACTAGCCATCCCATTGTCGACCGTTGCATCGGAATCTGCTTTTAGTACGGGAGGTCGTACTCTAGATCCATTTCGGAGTTCTTTAACTCCTAAGGTAATGCATCGTTATCTTTTTATTTTATAAAATCAAGTTTGTTTATATCTTAATATGACTTTGTTTATACATATTTGTGTAATATTTTTGTATTGAAGATGGTTCAAGCGTTACTTTGCACACAAGATTGGCTTAGAGCTAAGGAAGTGCCAATTGTTGATGTGGAAGAAAATTTGAAAGAGTTAGAGGAAATAGAGAAAGGTAGTAATAATTTTATGTATTTGAAATTTTGTTACACCAAATTTATTATTTCATTGTTATCAATCATTAATATATTCTATATTGTATTTTATTTAGAGGTGCAACGTGGTGAATCTAACGATGTAGACGATGAAGTTGTTTTCGTGGACTCATTAGTGTGAATCACGCGATCAAAGGGAAAACAACTCGTTGGAGAATTTATGTATTCCTAGTACTTGAGAGTTGAGAGTTGAGACTTAAGAGAATTTATGTAATTTTATGAGTTTTCGTGGACTTATTTGTATTTTCGGTGGACTCATTTGTATTTTTGGTGTTTGAGAATCGGGACTTTATAGACTTTATGTAGTTTTGTAATTGATAATTTTGGTTTGTATGTAATTATTAAATTATGCAACAGGTCTAAAAATCACAAAACAGGTCCATATGCAGGTCCATATGCAGGTCCAACAGGTTTTGTATTAAAAAAAAAAAAAAAAACGAAAAAGACACAAAACAGGTCCATTCAGGTCCAAACCCGGACCGGACCTGATTTTTCAGGTCTGGCCCGGAACCGGACCTGTTAATTCAGGTCCGGTCCCCGGTCCTCATAATTACCCAATTCAGGTCCCCGGTCCAAACAGGTCCGGTCCAGGTCCGGTCCGGTTTTGGACCGGTGTACACCCCTAGCGGCGACTCTTGGATGGCTTGAGAAAGTTACATTCTCGGGCCTCTCTTTGGCTTCCCAATATTTTTTCGGAGCGTCCCTCATCTGAAACATAGATCATGGCTTGATGATATGTCGAGACGACTCCTTGAACATCATGGATGAGGGGTCTCCTCATAATGACGTTGTATACTGATGGGGCATCAATGACCAAGAATTCGGCCATGATGCTTCGTCTTGCCCGGTCTTGGCCGAGGCTGAGGGGAAGAAGAATTTTCCTATCTGGATATGAAGAAGAGTCGTTGAATCCAGTGACCAGATAAGGAACTGGAGTCAAATGCCTGCTCTCCAACTTCAGCTGGTCGAATGCCTTTCAGAAAAGTATACTCTCCCCGCTGCCACCGTCTACCAGTGTCCGATAGACGTTGTGGTTTGCAATGCTTGTCATGATAACCAGGGGGTCATCATGGGGATACACCACCCCCCTGCAGTCTTCGGATGTGAACATCATGTTTGGCACCGGAGACTGCGGTTTCTAGAACTCAGCATGATGAATCTGATAGGTGAGACCCCTCATATGGCGCTTTAGTGCGTTCCTAGATATGCCCTTGGAAATGGTCAGGATGTCATTATTCCCTCCCTCGAGAGGTCTGTCCCTTTTCCGGTGGTAATCCAGTTCCTGCCGAGAATCTTTCTCAGCTTTCTTTTCTTTGCGGCGTTCCGAGATATATTTCTTTAAATATCCTTTTTGGACCAGCTCTTCGATCTGGTCCTTCAGCTGATGGCAGTCCTCGGTGCGGTGTCCACGAGATTCATGGAACTCGCACCAATGGTCCTTCCCTTTCTTCTGATGCTAAGAAGGAGGTGGCTTCGGCTTTCTGAATCTTCCCTCTTCCCTCGTCGCACTAAAGATCTTAGTCTGTGATAAGGTGAGAGGAGTGTAAGATTCAAATTTTCCCAGATAGGGAGCCTTATCCTTCTTCGGCTCTGCGGTCGAGGGGGTTCTGAGGCCTTTGCCTTCCCTTTCCTCGACCCGGGAACTTCGGCTTGCTTCCCTTTGGGCTTTGCAGGCCCTGACTGAGATTGCAGCTTTGCCTTGTTCCATTCCTCGGCTCGGATGAATTTATCCGAAGCGTCGAGGGCCTCTTCCAAGGTCTGCGGGGGATGCATGACCATGAAATTTAGAAATTTGCCAGCTTGCAAGCCATTCCGTAGTGCGAATACGGCCAGGCTTTGATCCAGACTTGTGGTTCTGGACGACTCGTTGCTGAAGCTAGTCAGATAGTCTTGGAGACTCTCGTCTTCCGCTTGCTGCAGGCCCATGAGGTCTGCAGTAGTTTTCTCTCGGCGATTAGCCGTGGAAAACTTGCTCTTGAACTTCTTGGCCAGATCGCTCCAGCCTGTTATCGAGCCTTCCTTCAGCCCTTTGGTGATCCATGATTGGGCAACACCTTTAAGGGTTGTAGGGAAATATTTACACCAGGTAGCTTCGGACCTGGGGTTAAGGTACATATGCCCCTCGTAGGAGGCTATGTGATCCTTCGGATCCGAAGTACCATCGTATGTAATGTGTGCCGGAATTTTAACCGTTGGCACGTGTTCCTCCAGTATCCACCTTTGGAATGGGGAACTGGTTGGAACCATTACGGCCTTTCCCTTCTGCCGCGCTGAAGGAACCCTGCTTCTCCCTCTTAGAGAGGTGGATGCAGGGGGTTTCCCCTCGCGTGACATGGAGGGCTGAGACCCTTCTGGATAGGTGAGGCGACTATGCACCCCTCCTTCTTTTCCACCTAAGCGTTCATGAATGCTTCGGCGGGAAACATTGTGGCTGTCATGAGGATCCTCAGAGTTCCGAGCTTTGGAGTTTTCGAAGTGACCTGAGCCCCTTCTCTGCTCCTTCCCAGACCCACCTGGATGTCCAGCCCTTCGGCTACCTTCCCCTTTCGAGGGCGGAGCCTGCCTCTCTCCCTCGGTTCCACTTTTTCTCTTTCGATCATGCTATTTACGAGGGGAAGAGGGTGATTTTTTTTGTTGATGGGAAGCGTCCTCCCAAGGCATTCATAAAGTCCATGCATACAACCATGGCCTTCATGACCTCTTCGGTCAACGAACCGGTAGGAGGAGTGGAGCGCATGCTAAGTGAAGGATCACGCTTATGAGCCTCGCTATCCTTCGGTGAATTCCCATTTTGGTAATCCCGTTGGGAGGGAGATCCCTCACGCATATTTTCTCCCCTCAGGGAGTTAGAAGCGGTTGGTTCAGGCGACGGTGAAGGTGTTCTACCGGCCCTTACCGTTATTAGGCCCATCTTCCTAGCTTTTTTAGAGCTTTTTGCACTCTTAGTCATTTTTGCGTTGGCTAAGATTAGTATGAGATTTTCGGCTGAATTTTTGTAAGTTTCCCCACAGACGGCGCCAAATTGTTTCGGTTAGAAAACAATGGACCTTCAGCTGGTCCTTCGGATGAGTGGAGATGAAGCCCAATTCGAGTGATGACCGAATTGAGGATTTCCTGCACAGCTAAACACACGTAAACTGGCCTCGGGGTTGTGCCGAGGAAGGCCCCTCCGATGCCTAAGTCAGTACGGATGTAAGATAATGAGAGAAAAGCTATGCAAGAGAGTTTGTTGCTTGAGGCATTTAATGGGAATGAATGTAAATATGAAAAAATGGGAGCTTTTATACCTTACTCCAATTGGATGGATTGGGCTTGAGGAATTAAATGGGCTGCCATATAATTGGGCCTTGTTGTACCTGACTTGGCTTATTTGAAATGAGGGTTGAACCTTGCCCTTTGGGCTTTAATTATTTTCATTGTAGACTGGGCCCAAATACAAGTTATTTGGACCCCAAACATCATCTTAACATTTCAACTTATTTTGGTGTAAATTAAGGCAAAGTATGTTCATTAAGTTCAAGTACACTTACAAGTGACAAATAAATAACATTTTGGCGTAAATTAAGGCAAAGTAGATTCAATAAATTCACGTACACTTACATGTTACAAATAAGTTCTAATATTTTACTAATGTAATTACTAGTACGTAGTATAAAATTAGGAACACTAACAAATAGATTAAAAATGTTGTAAAGATAATAAAGTGGTCCATAACTCCATATGATACACCAAAAATAACTTTAAAAGTTGACAAATTAGAGTATATAAATTAAATATAAAAAAACCCTAAGGGCATATGAAGTACCTAATGCCCACATGATGGCGGTAGCAAATCTAGCAAAAGAGTGTAACCTCATACACATCTTTAAAAGTTTACTAATTAGTGAATACTGATTTGGAAGTTTATGAAGTGGGGGACTACCTTAACTTTTGTATTTCTGAAAAATTAAAAACACAAAAATATGCATAAAGAGAGCAATATTTTTTCTTTTTAGGAACTGTTAGGCAAACATTTTATTATAAATTAGTATCCGTTAGGATAGAGTTATAAAACTATGTAAAAACGGATCTATACAAACAAACTTCGATCAACCACAAGTATCCCATTTTACTACATGATGGGTTATTGTGTTACCTACCCCCTGATCATGTGAAGAAATAAAAGCACAAAGAGAGCACCTCAAGCTAAAGTAAAGTAATTTAATGACTCGCATTTACGGTATACTCCATTATTTCATGTAATTCTTCTAAGTTTCTATGAAGTATATATAAGACCGACACATTTTACTTTAATGCTATTACTAATTATTTATTATAATTTATAATTTAAAATATATAGTGGTTATTGATGCCACACTCTCAAGTAAGTATAATAAAAAGCGCAAGATAATCATTAAGAAAATTTAATTTTGACAATGAAAGAAAAAAAACTCAATTCTTTTAGATGCATGTTATGGTTACCATTGAAAAATTCTCAACCTGATGTAAAAATAGGGTGGATATTTAATTCCTCAACAACTACTCCTATTTAAAACTTCCTTATATTGTTTTAAGGTGTTTACTATATATATATATATATATATATATATATATATGTTATCAAAATATGTTTGAGAAAAGGGGTAAAACAAGAAGGTGTACTTCATTTAAAAGTAGTTTATTGTAATGTTTCTATTTTTATTATGCTTGTAGATAGTTGTTGCTATATAACTTCGATTATTGATATATCTAACTATTCATAAATAATAATTTTAATCCGACTTAAACATTTTGAAAGTACGTATATGCCTAGGGGATTAAGGTGCTTGTAATAAGAGACCATGTACTTTCTTAAGTATGAATCACTGAATATTTTAAATAGAGCATGTCAAAACATTAATAATGGGATTGGGAGGAAGTACTACACAACAACATAATCCATTTGATATTTAAAGGTGTCCTCGTTGAGAAATGAACGCTCACTTAAATAAGTTTTCTTGTAATTATATTTTTCAAATCAAGAATAATTACTTTTTTTACTTTAAAAAACATATCAATACACTTTGGAATCGTTAACATTTTTGCTGAAAAAGAAAGGAATAATATATGATTAACAATGAATTATCTCTAGTACAAGTAGGATTTTAAAACGTTAAAGCTAGATCTTAGTGTCAACACAATTATGCTGAAAAAAAGGAAAAGGTAGAATGGCATGAGGGGCTCCATTAGATCTTTGCTTTCTTTGTTGATCAAAGAATGTCATGATGAAGTACTAAAATAAGTGATATTATTACTAATTTAATTGGTTTATGCTTAATTTTTTATTTACACTATGTTTTGACTAAGTATCTTTAAACGTTACTCCCTCTGTCCCACTAGAATTGCCCCATATTCCTTTTCAGATAATTTATCGATTTGTCCCATCCTACAAACATTACAAGAGGTTGATACGTTACCTTTTATACAGACTTATTGGTCCCACTAATTTTCTCTTTTACCAACTTTATTAAACCAAATTTGGGAAAATAGCGGTGATGTTATGAACAATCTCAGTGTGTTTGTAGGGAGTAATATTTTTATAAAAAAAAAAAAACTGTTTTTTGGGCACTAATTATCTAATCATATATGTAACGCTTTTAAATAAGGATTATAATGCTTTGTTTGAATCTCTAACTTTTACCTTTTGTTCAAAACCCCACCTATTGACTGTAATAATGTATGTCTTTGGGTTTCCAGATTTATAAAAAGAAGAAGAAATGATGTCTTGGCTTGCTACTCATCATAAGTTATTGGGATGGTCTACTTAATCTCTCAGAACTTTTATAACATACTTGATAGGCTGAGCTGTGATGATATGATGTGTGCTGATAGTGAGACTGTTTATTGCATAATGTATAGGATGGATTATATGTTGCATTTTTTTCATTAGTAATAGCACTTGCTAAAAGGTTTAGTGGATTAGTTTTAGGCATGAGATCGGCTTGTAAAGTTATATTGATCTTAATAATATAACCGGAGTACTCGTAATTAGTTTATAAGATACTCAACAATCAACAATTGCTTAAATTGTTTGTATTGTTGGCAAGTTGTGTATACCTACCGCATACTAAGCTTATGTCGAACAAAATACAGAATAATAGCTATCGAATAACAAATTTAATTAAGGTTCATGTCTAGATACATACTTAAAAATTCATACAAGTGAAGTCAATTTCCTAGACAACTATATCTTACCATGATACTCCCTATATCTCTATTTGTTTGTTCCATTTGACTTTTTATAGTAATTAAGAGATGTCTAAAAATGTAAATAACTCAAAATTATATTTGTTTGTAAATATTACGAGTACAAAAATATGATATTTTAAAAATAGACATTAAAACGAATTCAACAATATAGATTAGTGATAATTTATGGTCAAATTTTAAAAATTTGACTCAAAAAAATGCAATATGACAAACAATTTGAAACACGAGAAAAAAAATGCTTTTTTAGTATTAATGTAACACCAACTCGTTCAATATTATTAACAATAAATCCAAATTATTTTAAAAATATGAAACCAAAACCATTCTACATAGTACATGTTCAAATAAACATCAATCATTTTCGAAATTGGTTAAGTTTACATGTTATACTCAACAATAACATTGTTTGTTGGGACAAGTAGCTACCATACAAGTAATTGCAAATTCTAAAATTTGACCTAATTTTACGCAACAAAAATACAATTGAGTTGACTAGTACATCACCTCTCACTCTGACTAATAATCCCCAAAATATAAAAATATACTTGTATAAGAGTGATTAATTAAATTATTTATATTTAGCAACAAAATTAACACAAAAAAACTCCCAATTAAAAATGTCAGAGAATTAAAACGCGGTATAATATCCAGCATGAATATGATTGATTCAAGCTACAAAAAGCAATGTTAGCAAGTTTTGTTACCTCTTCTTTCTCTCTCCTCTCAATCATACTTTCTCTCTCCTCTCAATCATACTCTCAATCATACTTTCTCTCTCCAACTCTTTCAAAACCCAATACCAAAACCAAAACCTCCATTTTTGCTCTTTCAGACACCGACCATATTCCAATCACAATCGCCATTAATCCTTGCATTTAATTTTTCCACAAAATGGACTTTCGCTTCAATTAATCCCAAGTTTTAATTTTTGGGATTTCCCCCAAATTTTAAATAAATTTAAGGTTTATTTTAAACTCACCTTTTCTGGGTTTTCATTTATTTAAATAATATAAATGCCAGTAAACTCCAAATTAAGGTTTCGATTACATTTTTTCCTGGGTTTTCTTTCTTTTTTTTTTTTTTGGGTAGAAATTTCTGGGATTTTCTTCAAAAAATTTAAAATTTAAGTTGTAGTTTGAAATTTTCTTTTCTGGGTTTTTCTTATAGTATAAATGGGAGAAAACCCATAAACAATTTATTTATTTATTTATACTAATTTTATTAAGATCCAATGATGTAGAGGAAGAAGAACAATCAACAATGGCGGAAGTAAAGCGAGCAGCAAGTGGGTCGTCATTTTCTCTCTCCACCAGCAAGAAGAAGCCACCAAGCTTTAGCAACAATGGAGTAAGTTCTAGCTCTACTTCTTTCAAGCACATATACGACGACGTTTTTGGTTCTTCGTCTCCTAGTAAGGTGAAATCGTCAGCCTCTTTCATGGAAGATGATTATGCTGAAGTTTTCGGGTCCTCTAAATCGAACAATGGCGTTTGGAGCATTTCGTATTCGTCGATTCCGGTCCTCGACCTTCCTCCGAAAGAGAAAGAGAAAGAGAAAGGGAGTTTTGATTATGGTGGAGTTTTTGGAGATGATGGTCATAGTTTTGGTTTGCCAGATGGTGAGGAGTTATTTGATCAGCTGAAGAAGAAACCCAAAACTTCATCTGCTGCTCATATTTTGCCAAGGTATATTTTATATTTTATGTTTTTTGTTTTAAGGAAATTGGATGATTACAATTATATGTATTTATATATTTTTTGTTGAAATAGATGATTACAATTATTGGGTGAACTTTTGAATGTTGATGTGTTATGTTGGTTGGTTGATTTCATTCTTCAATAATGCCATTTTTGTTGATAATTTAATTATCACTTATCTAACGGGTCGTTTTTTTATGTTTGTAATATGTTCTGTTTGGATATAGTTTCACATATAATCGATACTCCGTATTACACTATCAATGTGGCTATTGATTAGTTTGATTACCACTTACCAAATGGGTTGTTATGGTTTTGGGTTAAGGTATTTACGTTTGTATGTATGGGAACTCGCCCTTTTGGCTATAGTTGTCACATATAATGGATGTTACAATATCAACGTGACTATTGATTTCGAATTTCCGATGGAGGGGTAAACAAATGAAAGACGTGGGTGTCTATCTGTAATTGAATGTAGCTTCCAGGTTAGCGGGTGCAAGCTGCTTTTGCTCAAGGAATAAGTGGTGTAATTATGATCAAAGATCAGATGTAAACCGAGGAGAAATTGTGAACTTGTATGCTCCTGAAAGTTGGAAGTATCTTAAGAAGTGAAAAGTTTTCCGTATGAAAGGTGTTGCTAGCTCTTCGTGGAAGTTTGAGTGTAGGGATCCTCAAGTTGATGTAGGTTAAAATACACGATGCAGATACACTAATTACTAGTAATCTTCTGGGAGGTGTCTTAGAGTACATGGCATTGGTCCTTTGTATGGCTCACTTCCTTATTACTTAGACTATCATGTTACTAGATGAATTACAGAGTATACAGACGAAATGGACATATTTGTGAAATCTGAAATGTACTGAAAATAAACATTACTTCCAAACTTCAAACAGACAGGCCAGGCTTAATAGAGTAATTCTGATGGCGAGAATGCGAGATTAATGAAGATAGAGATGAAAGTGATGTCTCCTTATTGACCTTTTGTTAGGAACCAAATAATTTGGTCATAGATACCTCTGTAAGGTATGGAGTGGTTGGTAGTTACCTCGTCAAACAGTGGATGTATTATAAAGTCCTCTGAAAATTTCTGTCTCACCAGAGTTTGACAGTCTGACTTATGTAATCCTGAACTTCCAAATTCGTTTTGACAGTATTGGACAACTAACTACTGCTATTTATAAGAAGCTTTGTTAAAAAATTTCCTTGGAACTATCAAACCTGGATACATTTCCTGTTTAGAGGTCTACTATTTGTAACATCGTTTTCTCTCAACAGTAATATTTGTACTCCAGTCACCAATTCCACCCTGTTTTCTATCTATTTTCTGCACACAAACACATACATGGTACTCCTGTGTTTGCATGTATTAATTCATGTATTGACTGCATTAACAGTGACCATAAGCTTTAATATTTTTCAGTTTTAGGAGCCAAGGGCAAACCATGGATGCCACCAACCCCGAGATTTCAGGCCAATCTTATGATGGCCAGTCACTGACAAATGGATTTTGTCCATCATTTGACAATACAAAGCAATTTGGGCCTGGGAATAAAGTGGTTGTGAACGCTACTGGAGGGCCAAGAAAAGTAACTCATGCTCGTGCTTATTCATTGCATGAAGTGACTGCTACTCAGAAGACCCTGTCTAGTCAAACACCTGTGATCAAATATGATTCGGTAGACACAGACTCCAAGCAAGGGAAGCATGCCAGGCATACTAGTTTGGATCTTGGTGCTATCAAACAGGATAATGTCAATGATTCTGGCCTTCAGAAAGTATCTGGTATGAGTGGTTCATTTTCAGTTGATAAATCTCGTGGCACATGCCAGTCCAGTAACACTGCAACAAATGGATTCTACCAATCAGTTGACAACACAAAGCTTTCAGGAACTAACATCAACAAATTGAGCTCTAATAGCACTGGCAGAGCAACACACGCAGCTAATGTTCATCCGATTCCGATATCCAATCATCCAATAAAACCAGAAGCACGACCAGAGTCTTCGTTGTCCAATGAACTCAGCCCTACTCAAAAGGCCCTGTCTAGCACAACATCTGTGCTGAGCGGTGAAACACAACCTAACATAGGTGTTGACCCGGAAAAGGAGCAAAGCAGGCATTCAGGTAATACTAGCTTGGATCTTGGTGCTAATAGACAGAATGGCCAGTGTGATCCACTCTTTAAGAAAGAATCTGGATTGAGTGAGTCAGCTTCAATTGATGCCTCTCATGAACCATGTCAGGCAGCAGGGCCATCTAAGGTGGTAAAGGATAATGCTGAGATTGCCATTGGTTGTGATGAGGTTAAGAAGAAAGATAGGCGTTCCAGGATGACCAGCATAGACCTTGGTGATTATAAGCCTTCTTGTGAGCGTGATGAAGGGCCTAAGAGAAAACCTCGTTTTGGCGGTTCTTATTCATTTGATGCCTCACATGATCCTAGTGCTGCCCAAGTTAAAGCACAGCCCTCTATGATGTATCCTTCTTCAAGTCTGCCTAGATTCTTTCCTGTTGAGAGCCATTATAAGGTATCAGAGAACTCAAGCTCAAAGAGTTCCCAAAAGAATCCATACAGAAGCACTGTAGGTGCAATACCACCCCTTGCTGAGGAGTTAGATGTAAATTCAGCTGCTGGAGTTTCTGTAGCTGTTTTGCAGAGAGCAATCGAGGAGGCTGAAATGAGAATTCGGTTGGCAAAGGCATTCTTGGAGCGAGAGTGTCATGGCTCTACCAACTTGAGGTTTAAGGATACTTTGAAGGTGAAAGTGTCCAAAAAGAGGGGACTAGCCAATGAGATTAACAATTTTAAACAACCTGAACCTGAAATGCGTCATTGTTCTCCTACTGTAGATAGTGACATGCAACCATGTTCACCTTTAGAAAGAAAGAGGGTGGTGGAGAATGCTAAACCGCATCCAGTTTTTGAAGACCAGGTGCCCGCAGTTTGTGAAGCCCAGGCACTACCAGTTTTTGAAAACCAAAAGAATTCTGTTACGAATGGGGAACTCACTGAAAATGGTGCAAGGAAGTCAAACTTGATTGGAGGGGATGATAAACAAGAAGGAGAATGGGAAGCAGCAAAGCACCTTAATCAACTTATAAGTGGAGTGAAGAATAGACTAGCTAGCTTTATGTCTTGGCAGACTGAGACTGAGACTGATTCTGAGAAGAAAGAGGATCTGAAGGAAATGGAAGCTAATATTGAACTTCGGCAGCAACCGGAAGAAGTTGAACATACTTTTGATGATCATGAGGCTTTTAAGCAAAAAAGATTAGAAGTAAATCATGGCATTGCAAGTGCTGGCAAAGTGATGAATGGGGAAAATACGGTACAGTTTGCATCAGAGGCTCTGGTTCCAGAGGAGAACGAATCAATAAGGAGCTTCAGTGTCAAGCAGAACAAAGCTGTAAACACTGTTGATTTCATTCCAGATACTGAAGGCTCTAGTTCAGAAAACTTTCAGTTCTTTGCTTTTAGGAATCAGATTTTATGCGATCCTCCTGATCCAGAAATAGAAGAGATGGGACCACTAGAAATTAGAGAGCGTGAGATGGAGAATGGACAAGAGCAAGTGATAAAGGAGGTGAAAAATGAACACAGAGCATGGCACGATGAAGAGCAACAGGATTCCGGTGATAAATTTGTGGCTCATGATACTAAGAGGCAAGATGATGTATATAAAATGAATGGCTTAGATTCTAGTGATGAAGAAAATGACAAGACAGTGGACGAGCCTTGTTTTCTGACTGAGGATAATGAAATGGAAATCTCTCATGAAGAGGGAAGGGAAGGTTTAATGAATAGAAACAGCAATACTTGCTCCGTCAATGAAGAAAAAGTTGAGATGGTGGAAGAGCATTGTTCAATGGATGCACATGACGAAAAGGAACCCGCTCGTGAAGATGACTGGCAAGATGATACGAGTAGTAAGGACTATGCAGGGTCTTGTGATGATGAATTTCATGAAATTGTGGAGGAACCTTATACCATTGCTGAGCATGATGGCAAGGGACTCCTTCATGACGTTGATGGGCACGGTGATTTGTATGAGATTCATTTAGGTGATATTAATGAAGAAAGTAATGACAGTGTGAAGGAACTTTGTACACAGGCTGGGCATGAAAGAAATAATGTAATTCATGAAAAGGGCAATGATATTAGTCTGAATGAGGAATTCAGGGAGGTACTGACAGACAATTCTCATTGGTGTGAAAATATTTTAGAGAAAACTGACAATGACGGTGATTGTGAAGTGCTAAAGGAAAATAAAAAACAGCATGAGAATGTAGAGATTGTGGAAGAGTTTAACCTGGTAGGAGAAACCTGGAAGAATGATAGTGATCAACGAGAAATCAATCATATTGAAGAAGTTTCTAGACAAAAATATGGTTGGGAAGATATTAAAGTTAATCAGAGTGAAACTGATCATATTGAGCCAATAGAGGAAACTGCAGAAGGAGTGACTCTGCAATCAAGTTTCGTTGTTTCAGCTGAAGGGGAACACAAGCAGAAAGAAAATGAATTTTTAAGCAAAGGAGAAGCCTGTAGTTTTGTTATGGACAGTTCCAAGATTAGAGAAGCAGTATATATTGATGAAGAAATTGAGAGGATGATGGAAATGTCTAATTCGTCTTCCGAACCTGAAATGGATTTAGAAAATCCAGTACCAGCTCAGACGGAAAGTGGGTTGATTGGAGAATGGCCTCCAGTATCAGCTCAAACAGCTAGGGAGTTGATTGTTGAAGAGCCTGTGCTATCATCTGTGTCAACTGAAATTAACATGGAACATGATAAAAATGTGATTCAGAAGGATCTAAATGGTACCATCAGAATTCTTCCGCATGAAAATCTTGTTTCATTTGACAGTGAATCTGACATATCTCTTGAGCAAAAGGATGTTAATGTGAAAGTTGTGGAACCCGAATCTCAGGATAATTTGGAAAATCAAACTGACTTGCTGCATGAACATGGGGACAACCTGCATGTAGGGGAGTTTGATACAGTAAGTGATCAGGATGCGGAGAGGTCTGGTGCTGAAGCAGGCCACAGGAGAAGAAGATGGTTTGATAACAGCGGGATTATTGGGACAGCTGAGCGTCCTAGCATCCTGGAAGGTAACCGAACAGATCTGGAGATAGAGCAGGAGATATTGGATGAATCTGAGTTATCTGGAAGTGTAGAAATCCATGCTGATGAACTAGATTGCAGTGTTGCAGAGCTTAAAACTGGTAAAGATGCTGATATTCCTTCCAATCAGGATGGTGTTAAAAATACTGTTGAAACAACTCCTACCAGAAGAAAATGGTTTGTTAAAAGAGGGGAACAGGGAGCACCTGAGCCTCTGTCCCTTTTTGAAGGTATTAAAGTGAATTTGGAGGTGCCTCTTAACAGTGTTAATGAGTCGGTAATGCATAACACCTCAGACGAATGCCTTAATATGAAAACCAAATGTGAAGAATCTATAAATGGGGTGAAGTCTGATGTAGCAATTAATGGGGAAAATAGCAAGCAGAATGGAGAAACAGCTCCGAGAAGGAGAAGATGGTTTGAGGGCGCAGAGAAAGTAGGAGCAGGTCAGCAATTAAGAAAAAATGAAGATGTTGGGCTGACAGTAGAGATGGATCAAGAATCCAACGTGAAGGGTTGTGTAGAGAAGCATGGAAAACTTAATAGCATGTCTACCTCACAGGAGAAGGATGATGTACACAACAAAGTAGAACCAGTAAAGGAACACCTCAGTGACCAGGATGATTTAAACAGGAAAGAAAAGGCGAGAGAGAAAGAAAAAATAGCAGTTGAAAGGGCAATTCGTGAAGCTAGGGAGCGAGCATTTGCTGAAGCCAGGGAAAGGGCGAGAAAAGATGCAGCTGAGAGACCAAATGTGGAGGCACGCCATAAAGTAGCAGCTGGAATTCAAGAGAAGCTGGGTAAGGTTTCTTCTGAGGCAACTTCCTCGTTAGATAAGGCCTCAGTGGAAGCAAAACTAAAAGCAGAGCGTGCTGCTGTAGAAAGAGCTACATCAGAGGCTCGGGAGCGAGCACTGCAAAGGGCTTTATCAGAGAAAGCTTTTCACAGGTCAGGAGAACAGGTAGGAAGATATTCATCTGAAGAAAATTCATCATTGGTAAATGTTGTTTATGTGTTTTCATTCATATATGGTACTTGTCTCTATATAGTGACTTGCTGACTTTTAAATCTGTCGCAGGAGCCAAAATATCAGAGCTCAAGAAGTTCAGATTCCTCAAATAACAGTGGTATGTGTTCTGATACTGGTAATTCTATCACGTGCCTGAATTGTAGCCATTCATTCTGTGGAGTTGTTTATATGCAGAAAAAATTGATGGAGCTGATGTTGAATCAACTCAAAGGCGCAAATCTAGATTGGAAAGGCAGAAACGAACAATGGAACGAGCAGTATGTTAATGCTCTTTTTTTTTATGATAAATTACTGACACAGAGATGTAAATATCCTTTCATTTTAAGAATTTATAATCATTCTTTGTCAGACTAATGCTCTTGAAGAGAAGAATAAGCGTGATATCCTAGCTCAGAAGGAGCAAGCTGCCAAAAATGTAAGGAATATTTTGGGTTGGAATGCTGGATGGTTTAATGAGTTTTTTTAATCATTTGGCGTTTGATTATATTGGTCTGAAAAATATCTCAGTAAACTGCCCTCTACTTTTTATTATTAGTTGTGATGTTTTATGCTAGTCAATTACTTTTCGAGGTTCTAATGTAAAAGGAAAATAGAATAAATTGCCCTAGGTGGTAATCTCTTTAGAGGTACCAGGGTATTGTTAGGTGGCGCTCTGTTTGGTTCTTTGGGAGTTTTTGATTAGTTGCTTACTTTCTTATGAGTCTGCTATCAAAGTTTCATGGTCTTCTTTTTATTGCAGATACTGGCAGATTCTCTGGATTCTGAGGTCAAACGGTGGTCCACTGGAAAGGAAGGAAACCTGCGTGCACTGCTTTCAACACTACAATATGTAAGAAGAATAATTAACATTGCGCATGAATGTGTATTATATTGCAAATCTGTATTGCTCTCTTTCTCTCTCATATCTGTGTTTACCTTGAATTGACTCCCTTGACCATTTCTAAGTAAATACTCTGTTTCAATAGAACTTGTACCCATCTTTTGGTTTTTGTTAGATGAGTGAGTGGTGTTTGGTTAGGTATATATTTTTTTAGTTTACCAGATCATCAAACTGCAGTTTTGCACTATCAATTTTCTGCTTTTTTCCATTTTACAAAAGTGCACTACATGAAATTTGAATTCTAAAATGTTTGCTTTGTTTTAATTGAATCTTTTGAATTTCAATTCATTGGAGGCACATGTTGCACAATATTTTTCTTAGAGTTTTCCATGTTTCATGTCAGGCCTTCTCTGAAATTTTGGTGTTTCTATTCTATTCTTATCTGGAACATCTTTTAGATACATTTGACGATAATTCAACTGAATATATTCATGTGCAGATATTGGGTCCTGATAGTGGATGGCAGCCTGTTTCCCTCACTGATTTGGTGGCTGCGACTGCTGTCAGAAAATCTTATAAGAAAGCTACACTTTGCGTTCATCCTGATAAATTGCAACAACGAGGTGCATCCATTCAGCAGAAGTACATATGCGAAAAAGTTTTTGATCTTTTGAAGGTGCGTCTTGATCATATGATCTTCCTTGCTTTGTGCCTCACCATTCTTACTGTTTTAACTTGCTTAATATTTGTTAAAATTAGGAAGAGCATTTATTCCAAATTTTTTGCCTGATTTCACTATTAGTTTGATCATATGATCTTAATATTTGTTAAAATTAGGAAGAGCATTTATGTTTTATGAACTGTATTGTTTTCCTTTACTAAAGTTTTTTCAAACCTTTATGTTGTCAACTTGAGCGTTTTAACCGCTCTTTTAAAACTTTCTGGAATTTTATTCTCAATTCTCTTTTAAAACTCCCTTATTTTTTCTTAAATGCTCTTTCGTTTACTCACTTTAATCACCTTTATTCTAACTCTTTTAAATGATGGTTTTGTTATGTCCGTTTCGTTATACCGTATGATTCCGTATGACGATTCATGTTAGCCGACCCCAAATCATTTTGGGACTAAGGCTTTGTTGTTGTTGTTTTTCCTTCCCAACTCTAGTGACTGTATATTAGGCAATGTAAATTGTACTGTGTGCAATCATGTTGGACTTGGAGGTCACTCTTATGGACATGTTTTCAGTCATTTTACAGGATTCTTGAATGGTCTTTATCTTGCCTTTTTGATAGCCATGTTTATTGAAAAGTTCAAAACAGTCAAAATCATCTGATATAATTCTGTTTTTGGCTATGTGCAGGAAGCTTGGAGCAAGTTCAACCCTAATGAGCGTTAATGTAGATCTGCACAAGTGCCCACTACACCTGTTGGCTTCACAATACTTGATACCTGTTGGCTTCACAATATCTTGGAGGGAATTAAGATTTGAGTTCCATCTCGGCATGTGACTGTTGGTAAACTGCAATGAGTATTGTTCTTAATCTCTCTGGTTTCAAATGCTGCTTGCTGGGTGGTGGTGGATGACAATTGATAGTAGGGGGATTGAAGAAAATGCGGGTAGGGAATAAATGAATTGAAATAAAGATGCTAGCCACTTGCACTCAACCCCTCCCCACTCCCCATGTACAACAACAAAGCCTTAGTCCCAAAAAAAAAAAGCCTTACCACCATTCCACCCTTTAACTAAAGCCATAGTCATTGAGCAGTCTTGCTTAGTCAAGGGTTGGATTTGCAAGCTCGGAAAGTAAGCTTTCTTTTTTCATGTTTTCTCTCATGGTCTTCACTATTGTTGCATCTGGCTTGACTTTTTTTTCTTTTTCTTTTTTTTTTTTCATAATTACTGCAGATTTGTCTGGTAAATGAATGATTCATCTGCTTTGACTTGGCCTGTATGCTACAACATTGATGTTTCTTCCTTGTCAAATCTTCTCAAGGCCTCGATATTTTGGTATGTCTAGTATAATCCAATCTTGTATGAAAAAAAAGGGATTCATAAATTATATATATGATGCTAAAAACTAGATATTTATCAACATAAGAATCCTTTATCTCAAGGTAATTGGTTTGTCCATGAAATTCATTGCTCAACACTTTTACTTTCAGTTCTTTTTTTAATACTTCGTATGCATATTAATTTTAAGGTTACAATTTTGATTAGACATGTCATATCAGGGACTTCAGGGTTGGGTAACTTTAGGTTTGGGCCGGTTCATGTTCAAAGTTGGAAAATTCATGTTTGTCATAATTGCACTAAAATTGAGTTTGGACCAGAATGTTCATTTAAACCAAGTACGCCTTCCCTAGGCATGCTTTATAGTTTATACTCCCTCGCTCCGTTACATAATGTTGTTCCCACTTTCCCTTTTAGGTCATTTCTTAAAGTTCTTCGGGATTTTGCTTTAATTCATTTTTTTGTCAAAGAAATACTGTTATTTTACCTCAACCTGGTCCAGGCTATGGTAATAGTTCGTTTTTTTTAACTCACATAATGTAATCACAAGCACTTGCATCTACTTTGTTCAGATTCCTTTGTTTATGATGTAAGTGGGAAGAGTTTTTTTGGACTGAAAGGTATTGTACTGGCATTTGTTCTCAGTCTGACATTCAGATCTCGCCATTATCTTCTTGAAGGGTCCCTTGGTGTATTCAGGCTCACTCAGCTCTACAATGCTCCCTCTGGTCGGAAACATGTAGTTTTAAAATTGTAGGCCAATATTGAAAAGATGAAACATGTATATTTTGATGATAGCTAACTTTTATTAGAAATTTGATTATTAGGTTAAGGTTGAACTTCGATAAGTTAGGTAACTACTGCTAAACAACACTCGGACTTGAAAATGAGGATCCTAAACAACACTCCTTTCTGACCGGAGGGAATACGTTGTTGAATGGCTGTAGCCACCCAACACTAGTGTTGATAGGCGATTGCCAGAATTTCATTACTGCATAAAATCCTCATCTTAATGCCATTTTGTCACTTGTCTTTGTTGCTTCGACTTTTGGCTGGTCTTAACAATGTCATGTTTGGCAGGCTATGGCCTTTTCTGGAAATGAAAACCAGCTCTCTGAAACACTTGGGATATTATTTAAGCTGCTACCAGATGTTCAGTGATTGCAATGCAGGTGCTCGTGCTTAATGGGATATCCTCGTCGATGCTGTATTGTAAAAGTTTTTGTGTATGTAAATATTTGTGCATACAGCTTCGCAATTTTATTTTCAATAAATGGCTTCTACATGCATATATTTTACCTTCATGTCTACGGAACTTTAGTTTAGAGTATCATTTCAGAACGGCGAAAAAACAAAGCTTAAAACACTACTAAGTTGCTTCCTCTTCAGCAGTCTTTCCTTTTACATCCCCATGATTGGAATTTGCATTTATTCCCCAAAGAATGGCTAAACAAATTCAGGGATTTATCTGTGTTTCGTGAAGAGAAGTAGAGAACCATCTCTCAATCATATATTTTTGTACTTTCCATTTATTTGCCAGCTGGTAGAATATTGGCTGTTATGACAATGTTAATCACAGTATTTAATTTGACAAATCCGTTTATTAAATGGATCTTAACTAGAAGTAATAATAGATTAGTCAGTTAAAGTAGAGTTAAAATTCCTTTCAATCATTTCGCCATTGTTACCCAATAATTATACCCCAAAGAATGGCTCCTGAAATGCTGGCGAAGACAGAGGGGAAAGAGACAGAGAAGGATGTTTTTATCTTTAGGGGTAATGTTGATGTTAATTCAATTCAGAATACAACCATTTGTGAAAAAGAAGTAGGGGCAGGTGGAGGAGGGGATGTGAAAAGATGGAAAAGAAGGCAGAGGGACAAAGACCATAGTATGAGTAGTGGGGTGAACATGGCAGGTGAAAAAAGAAAAGAGTGCGAAAGGAGTGGGGATGGGGAGGAGATGTTGTTGGGGGATGAAATACGAGAGAAAAAGAAGAAGGTAATTCCTGTTTCTGCTGAAAGAGTGGTGAGCCTCACCAATAAGGCTCTCGGTGATAAATGAGTTACGCTCTAGCCTGGAACTGCAGGGGTTTGGGGAGCATCGTTGCAGTTAATGCGTTAAAACGCATTGTGTTTCTTGAGAATCCCCAAATTGTTTTCCTTACGGAAACAAAACTGAAATCCTTTGAGATGGAAAAAATAAAGCAGAAAATAAAGTTCGGTGGTTGTTTTATAGTGGAATGTGAGGGGGAAGGGAGAAGAAGAAGGGTTACCTTGCGCTCAAGCTTGATATGAGCAAGACTTATGACAGGGTTGAATGGAAATTTTTACAGAAAATGATGTTGAAGCTGGGCATGCCGGAAAGCTTTGTAGGTTTGGTGATTAATTGTGAGAGTACTGCATCTTTTGATGTTCTTGTGAATGGGCAGCCTTCGAGGAAATTCAAGTCTACTCGGGGACTTCGATAAGGAGACCTTATATCTCCCTTTTTGTTTATTTTGTGTGCAGAGGGCTTGTCGACATTGCTTAGGGATGCCGAAGAGAAGAAGCTCATTCATGGGGTGAAGATTGGGAGACATGTAAAACCGATTTTTGATCTTTTCTTTGCAGATGACAGTCTCCTTTTTTGTGAGAGCGACGGAGGAAGAAGTGGAGAATGTTCTTGGGATTCTGTCTACTTATGAGATGGCTTCGGGGGAGAAATTGAGTATGGATAAATCATAGGTGTCTTTTAGCCGAAACATTGAGCAGGAACGGAAGAATATGCTTCAGATGAAGTTATCCTTTAAGGTTGTCGAGAGACATGAGAAGTATCTTGGTTTACCAACGTACATTGGTGGATAAAAAAAAACAGATTTTCATAATATTCAAGATCGAGTTTGGAAGAAACTCAAAGGGTGGAAAGAGAGGTATCTATCTCAAGCCGGGAGAGAGGTACTAATTAAATCAATCGCTTAAGCAATACCGACTTATGCAATGCAATGTTTTTTGATTCCGGCTAGTATTCTTGAGGTGGTGGAAAGACAGTGTAGAAAATTTTTTTGGGGGCAGAAGGGGGAGGAAAATAAGATCTGGTGGGTTGCTTGGGAGAAGTTGTATGTTTTGAAGGATCATGGGGGGCTGGGCTTTAGGAATTTGAAGAATTTAAATAAGGCCCTGTTGGCTAAACAGGCTTGGCGCATACTCACAAATGAAGATTCTCTTATGACTAAAGTTCTGAAAGGAAAATATCCTAAGTCGTCTTTTAGGGAGGCAAAAATTAAGGCGAACTCGAGTAATACTTGGAGATCTATCCTAGGGGCTCGTGAGGTTGTATTGAAGGGTGCTAGAAAGAATATTGGAGACGGTGCTTCAACAGACATATGGCGGGATCCGTGGGTTCCAAACCTTCCTGATTTCAAGATAATATCGAGCCAAAGGGAGGACAGCCAATGCCCTGCATATGTGCGGCAACTATGGGTTGATAGGGCTTGGGATGTTAATATCCTTAATACCTATTTCTCGGTGGAGGAAGTCAACATGATACGGAGGATCCCCATTCCTTTGTATGATAGTAAAGATGTGTGGATGTGGCATCACACTAAGGATGGCAGATTCTCAGTTAGAAGCGCATATAACCTTCTCACGGTGGAACAAATGCAAGACACTGCCTCCTCATCAAATGTGGGTGCAGTGCGTGATTGGAAAAAGGTATGGAAGGTGGAGGTTCCACAAAAAATTAAGCTGTTTGCGTGGAGATGCTCTAGAGATGGAGTTGCTTGCCTTGATAATCTAGTGCGGAGAGGCATAAATACTGATTCAATGTGCCCCATGTGCGGTGAAGCAAGGGAAAATATTCTCCATATGTTGATACGATGCAATGAGGCCAAGCTCATATGGTATACGTCTCCTTTGAGATTAGATGTGGAAAATTTTCAAGGGGAGAACTTTGGAGAGTGGTGTTGCTCGGTTTGGAAGGCTATCAAAGACCTAAATTGGTGGGGGTTGTTTTGGTGTACTGTATTGCATGGGGGTGTGGCTAAGACGAAACAGATAGACTTTTGAGAGGAAGAGGATGGAAGGTGCTGATGTGATATGCAAAGCAGTAACTTTAGTGGGTGAGTATGAGTTAGCAAAGGAGGTAAGTAATGTGAGTATCCCTGCCATGAAGCTCGAGACTAGGGGGGAGCCGCCATTAGCGGGAACGATCAAAGTAAACTCTGATGGAGGTATCCTCTCGCCTGATGAGGTGGGTTTGGGTGGAGTGATGAGGGATGAGGGATTATATGGGAGATGTGGTGGCTGCAACTTGCCTCAAGATGGAAGGGGGTTTTGATGTGGATGTAGCGGAAGCTTTGGCTATGAGACATGCTTTACACATCGCAATGGAGGCGAGGTTCTTGCGGCTTTGCTTAGAGACAAATTGTATGAAATTATACAATCTCTTGAAGAAAGGTGATGTTCCCCCTAATCCCATTGGGAAGATTATCAATGATATTCTAGCACTAGTCCATTTGTGTGAATGTGTGGCTTTCTCGTTTGTAAAAAGGGAGGGAAACTAAGTAGCTCATGGCTTAGCAAAGGTGTGTAACCAATTTTATAACCTTAGAGTATGGCTAGAGGAAAATCCTTGTGATGTAACAGAGTTTGTTATGGCTGATTTAAGCCACGTTGAAGTTTAATAAAATGTTTTTGCTTCCGGTCAAAAAAAATAAATAATTAAGACTGTTAAAGTTCACCTTAAGAGTATGAAAGGGTTGAGATCAAGTTAGGGTTCTGCTTACAATAAATCAATGGTCATCATTTCGTCAATGAAAGGGTTGAGATCAGGTTAGGGTTTTGCTTACCAGAACTAAAATAATTTTAAATAAATATGTTTTTGAAATAAAAGTAAGTATTTTTTATTGAATGGAGTTGGAATTACCGAATTATTGTAATGTACTTTGACTAAATGGAGTTGGAATTATTTTAATGTGATTTCAAGCTTCATTGTTTGATTGAGAAAGTATTATTATCAAGTGCAAACCTTGTACGTATTTGCATAACTGATGATTATTCAGCAACTTTTACTCGTATGTGTGTTTGTTTGTTATGCTTCTTGTGTTTACGACCATTTTTTAAAAAAAAAAATTATGGTGGCCTATTATGACTCACTCTTTACACTTGGAATTAATGGTGAGCAGTTAAGATTGGTTAAACAAGTTGATAATGAGATCGCATAATTAAGTTAAGGGAGCTCAAGTGTTTCGATTTATATTTTATAACGAGTTTTTAAAGTTGTAATAAATACCTCACTTAGTTTAGTTGAGTTGTATTTGATGTGTATTTACACAGCTATTTTGAGTTTCTTGAATAAAAGACTCAATCTTTAAACCTTTCTTGGATTTTGATATGTTTATTATACGATTATGGATGTATGTATTCTTTTTCTCGAGGAAAAAACGAGTTAATGAATTTTAATGAAGCAAGGATAGAACTCCCAAAGCTCAGTTGAGAGGCGATACTTGAAGGCTCGGTTCAAGAATCAAAGTTTAGCACAACGACAAGGTTTAACAAACCATAAACACAAGCTAAGCTCACGTTTTTCATATAAAAATCAAAACTCAAATTTGAATTTTATTAATTCTTAACCACGAATTTATAAGCTAAATAATTAGCCTAAAATCGTGTAGAACAAATTCTAATCTTACTAGGAAACTAACCCTAATAACTTGTAAAGATAATATTTTGCAAATATGATCTTTAAAGTTAAGCTATCTTCTATTAACTGAATTAAACTAACAAATATATCTTAATAATTAAAATAATCTTCTAAGGCCTAAAACAAAAAAAAGTCTTTCAAGTGAAAGGTAAAAACTCGTAGGCAAAAATCTAAAATAAGCAATAACCATCGCAATACGTATCATACTCCCCTTCTTGAAAAAAAAAAACTTGTCCTCAAGTTTCGTCCTTAGAGAAAGGGATTAAATCGGGAGAAGTAAGAGTAGCACAAACACCATTCCCTAGAAGAACCTTTAATGGTTCATAACCTATTTTCT